TTGTCTCATGTGTTTGGGAGTTCACGCTTTTGAACGGGGGTTTAACTCAGCCAAATGAGCATCATCATCAGCATCATCTCTACTGGGCATATACATTTGGTACCACTTTGTGGAAAGTATATAGTAGCCAATCTATGGAGAAACTGGTCCAAACATAGCAACATGGAATTTCCACCATGGCTTAGGGTCCCCAAAATAGATGAGCTCTCCCCAAATGTTCGTTTGAACGTGGACGCAGCATGTTTTTTTTTTCGAAAGCTAGATTTCCGTATCTGCAACAAAACAAAAAAAGCACATTGTTGTATGCCTCAGGGTGAGGCTTGAATATTGATTCGGGTCAAGTGATAGTTGCCCCTTTGTTTCCAATTTTGCGCAAAAGGGCACAGACTCGTGCAGGCCTCAGAGGCAGCCTTGAGCCTAAGCTGTGGGGCTGGCTTAATAGCCACGCTGAAGGAGCTTGGCGTAGACCTTAGAGCTCGGATTCAACCATCGCCTGGGTGGATGGCGATTTACCGAGCAGGTCTAAGAGTCAGGCCGGTTTAGTGTAGGTATGCCTTAGGGTTAGCATCGGGTGGTTGGCTGCAGTTTGGGCAGGTCTACGGGGCAGGTTTGATGCAGGCCTCAGAGTCAGCCTGGAGTTGGGAGTTGTGTGTAAGCAGGATTAGTGACCGGGCTTGAGGGAGGACCAAGCGCTAGGCTCAGTGCAGGCCTTGGGGCGAGTTTTAGGTCTGGGCTACAGGGGCAAGACTGAAGCTCAGGGGCTCAGCTTCCCGGAGATGGGGGGACGGGAGAAGGGGTGAGTTGGGGGGAGGGGGGGGGGCGAAAGGGGTGGGGGTTGGGGAGGCGCGACCGTGCGGTCCCTGGCGTGCCCGGGTCGCGGGCGGCCACCGGGTCAATCCCTCGCGATGAAGGGGACAGCGCGTGTCCCAGCAGCGCGATCAACGTTACAGGGCAGATCAATGCGACTCCATCTGCCCACAAAAGCGCTGGATTAAGTGGGATATTATGGGCGCGATGAGTTGCCACGCGGCTGTTCATTCCAGCTTCATTTCGGCCGCCTCCAGGCCAGCGAAATTGAGCGATCGATAGCGACCGGGGATCGTAAGTCCCGGCGAATCTAACCGCCCGTAAATTTAGAGTGACACCTCGCATGGTGACATAAACTGATATATGAGTGATTCAGAGCCAGGACTGTGGCTTTTTAATATAGAGAGTCTGATTGCGAGACTTTAAAGTTGCCATGTTTCGCTGAACTCTGGGGAAAGGGCAGCCAAATCCACAAGATGGAAGAGAAGAACATTTTGTTTTGGAGTTAATAACGGATCATAGGCAGGAAATCCCTGCAACGCACGCAGAGAAAAATAGGAGAACAAGCTTAGGGTTGGAGCGAGATGTGATTTACTGTTTTGAAGTCATGAGACAGTTAGTGGTCATGTAAGACTTAAAATGCTTTTAACCTTTTTGGATTTGATTTAAATGATGGTGTTTTATACCAGATTGAAAGTTAAGGTGGGAAAAAGCCTTTCATTTATCAGAGATTGATGAGCGGCAATGGTGGCGGCCTTAATTCTACGAGCGGAGAGCGCGCCTGGTTTTGTGCGCGCTCCGCTACGGATTGTGAAAATGATGGGAATTCATTCGGGTTAATCATTGTTTTACTGCAGGAAAAAATAAAATAACAGCCGCTATTTCTGGAGTTGATGAATCGTTAAAATACCTTTGAAACATTCATATGTTGTGTCGAGCATTACAGTAGATGCCCTATAAGTGCATAATTTAAGTAACAAAAAGAGTAAAGTCAGCCTGTCTGTGGCCAAGCAAGTACTGGATGGTGCTCGTTCCCATTGGCAGCCTTTATCAAGTGATACAAATTCCACATTCCTATTTCCAGGTGCAGTCTGTCCAAAGGCCTGCTCGAGTTTACTACTTGAAGGGACACCAGGGCCATTCCCCATGGTGATGAAGCGATTGCTTGCACGGCTGTAGAAGCTCCAGAAGCAAATTTCGCTCCTCGCCATAATCATCATTAGCCATGATCCATCCACTGCTTCCCCCAAGCAATTGCCATAATTGCACGACGCTGTGACAGTCCACCTATCACCTGCACGCGAGCCGATTCCATTGCCCAATTTGTTGTGCCGGGGGTTTTCCCCTCATTTACATATTTGAATTGTCCCTCCATCTCCCCGGTCGACGTCGTTCCGGGGCGCGCTCCGTCCCTCGGGCAGCCGCTCCGCTATTATTCTTGACCATCGACGTGTCCTGCCCAAGCCCGCTGAACTTTCTGCGCGGACTAACTTACGTCAAATGACCCGTGTATGTGCTCTCGTCCACGGGCTCCTCTTTTATGTCTCAATGTCATTCCCAGCATGCAATTATTCACGGTCCCTGCAACACTTTTGAGTTTTCTGTGGCATTTCTTTAGTGGCCATGATAACGTAGCCGAACCGTGCGTCACAGCGGCGAGCGCGCACTGCTGATGACACGTCCCATAATAATTGCACATTTGAACTACCTACAAAGAGAGAGAGCACTGTAGCGATATGCCTTGGTATGCAATTCTTGTAGATGTCTTGCTGTCACGTTGACAACACACACAGACGGATCAGCTGGCCTATTCGTGTGCTAGTGTTTGCGTGCCTATCCCATAGTTTGCACTATTGGCGGCACTGGGCGGCACGCTTATTGTATCAATAACACGAGAGATGTTTCCCACCTGGGTGACGACGCTGTGCTTGGCGCGATGCAGGTCGCAATTATAAGGTCGGGAGGCTCAACCCATCATCTCTCAAGGGTTAATAAAGGTAGAAAGCCGTCATTGTATGGATCAACTCAGTCCTGTCATAAGAATGTGGAATTTCCACCACTGCCGCCATAAACAGAGATGAACGCCGCACATAGCTTATTTGAGCCGGGGGGGGGGGGGGGGGGGGGGAGACACTTTGACTTTGACGATGCGATATTATCGCTGACATCGCCACTATCATCTCCATGAATCAGGTTTATTGTCAGATGCGGCACCTCATCGCACGCCGCTCTCTAATTATTTTATGTTCGTCCCCCATTGGGGAATCTGACTGCGGTCCCTGCCATTGTAAATAAATCCACTGTGCACGCGCGTTTCCGCGCGCTTGTGCGCGTGTCTGTGGTCGTGGGGAGCGGTAGTGTAGCGGTTAGGGCACTGCGCTACGAACCCGGCGGCCCGAGTTCAATTCCCACTCACGGCCAAAATCGGTGACGATTATCTGAACCGGTCCTGGGCCTCCGCTAGGTCGACTCATCCTCAAATGAGTACCTGGTGCGGTGTGCAAACATCTCCACTCCACTGGGGAGACAAAGGCGGCCGGGCGTAGTGCTGGCAAGCCACCCCCTCGTGTGCCTTGCCGGCCTTCATAGGTGCTGCTCGCTAACAGCACTTGCCCCTACAGTCTGTTCAGGCGATAGGGGAGATCGTTGTCTTTGTGGTCGTGTATGAACACGCGTTTGTGTACATGTACACAAACGTGTATGAACACACGTTTGTGTACATGAACACAAAGACCTTTCATTGTTGAGCATAGGTCGCAGCGGCAAGCAGTGAGCACCTGTTAAGACCGGCATGACGCACGATGGGGTGGGGGTGGCCGGCGCTCTGCCTGGCCGCCTTTGTCTCCCTCTTGCTGTGGTTCACGCGTCAACCAAGTTGATGCCCGAGAGTAAAGTTTCTAGCCGTTGGATTGACTCGGCTCACCATCCCTCCTGGGCCGCTAAAATAAGGCGCCACTTTGAGTGTGGAAATACACTGGCCTTTTATAATACAGTGCCAAGTAATTCACAGCCATACATTCGCAAACACCTTGAAGCGGAACAGCGTCTCCCTTCTTATCCTCATCTGTGTCTTACTCTGCCCCGCACTGCAGCCGGCGTTCACTCTCACCGCTCTCTTCCCGGGAGCCCCTGCAGCCCGGCTCAATCCATCTCCCCCGGCGCCCCAACCCTGTACAGTTCTTTCCGCGGCTCGGCCCTGGAAATCACTCTTCTCCGCATTCGGCGCGAGAGCTCGTGGCATAATTTAGCTTTCTGCCGAGGGTTTTTTTCTTCTTTCATAATTTATTTTTTTCCGGGTGAAATATTCTCTGCCCTAATTGCTTTGTAATGTCTTCATTTGTTCCGCTTCTGTCACCGCCGCCTGCTCCAGTTCGCTGGGCTCGTCGCGCAGACGCAACCCTTGCGTTCGCTCGCTTGCCGGTGCGCCCGCCCGCCCGCCCGCCCGCCCGCTCGGTGTCAAAGCGAAACTTCACTCAACGACAAAAAAACGCGACTTAAAAATTATCGCGATCTCGGGCCGCTCGTGACAAACGGTCGCGCGGTCGCCCGCTCACCGCGTGCTCTGCCCGAGCCCAGACCTCCGGTGGTGCTGGCGGCCCCAAGTCCCCCGGTTGTCTTGGTCCCAAGTCTCATAGTTGTCGAGATGCAGAGCGAGTTCCCCCCCCCGGCGTAGACGCGCGGTCGCTAACAACGATTGTTGGGCTTCGCTCGCGGAGGAGATTCGTCCGTTGCCTCTCTCGCCTCTGTTTGTCGACGACGAAAGCGATGAGTGGACGGCGCACGTCTCCTGCACACGTGCGCCCGTCTCTCCACGTGAACGTCCAAGTTGGTCTCACACAGCCCATCAGCCGCGCAGGCCTTCTGCGAGTGCATCAATTCGGCAGGGGTTGATTTAAGACAGGCAAACTCTGGACCGGTTTGGACACGCAATGTCACATCGGCGGGATCAGTCTTGCATCAGTCAGTCATTTTGTTTGTAGACGAGAGAGGCACTGCCTGCCAGCCTGGCTGCCTGTCGCAGTGCACCACATTGCACTGCGTAGCATTGCATCGGATGTTATTGCATTGCGACGCATTGCTTCATTGCATTCGACCGCCGGCATCGCAGTGCGGTTCCGTGGTCGTCGCACCGCGTCGCGCCGTTGCGTCGCGCCGCGGCTGACCACGCTCGTCCGGTGTGCATCGCGAACCAGACGTGGTGAGCCCCGTGCAGGCCGGCGACTCCCCCGTGAGCGGCGACGCGGTGCGCAAGCAGCTGCGCTCCGACGCCTTCGCGCAGCAGCAGCTGGAGGCGCTGGAGCGCGCGTTCGAGCGGCAGCACTACGCCGAGGTGTTCGCCGAGCACGGCAAGCCCGAGCAGGTACCCTCACCCCGCTCGGCCCCGCTCGCCCCCGCTCGCCCCCGCTCGCCCCCGCTCGGCCGGCCGCTCGCTCACACTTGCTCGCACAACGCCCGCCCGTCCGCCCGCTCGCCCTCAACGCACGCTTACCCGCCCGCTGGCCTGCTCGCTCTCACTCGCTTTCGCCCGCCCCGCTCACACACTCGCTCACACTCAGTTTTGTGCAACAAGTCAAATGGCTGGTCCGGTACCGTGGGATCCTGCTATCACCCTCTCACCTCTTCCTCACCTCTCGCCCCTGTCACCTCTCATTCGGCCCTCTTTTCCTCTCCCCCTCTCTCACCTCCCTCTCTCACCTCTAGATTTCCCTCTCACGCTCACTAAACTAATTGCTCGCCTTTGACTGTGGCTGCCACAGATGCTCTGCATTGATCAATGCGCAGAACATTGATTCACCTGTCTCTGTGCGGCATTGTGCCTGTGAGCACCGGCTCTGTTGACCTCCAGCGTGGGCAGGGTGGTTCCACAGTGGGCGCCACACCACTGTGCCTAGGAGATGTTCACTACCTCGCCTGGTATACAGGAGGTCGTGGGTTCGATCCCGACCCAGACGCCTGCTGCATATTTGGAGTTTGCGTGTTCTCGCTCACCGTGGTCACGTGGATTTTTCTCCAGGCCCTCCGGTTTTCCCTACACATTAAGAATCAACGTCACGCGTTTGGAGTATTTGGCTGCTACACATTTCCATGTGATAAGCCACTTTGTTGAGCTATCATTTGTGATAGCTAGGTCGCTTCTGAAAAACAGCCACTACATAGCTGAGTGGGCCTTACCTGCTAAAATAAAAATAGTTAATAGATAGTTAGTGGGCATTGCCCACTGGGATTGTAGCTTTTGCGTCAAACAAAATTTTCAAGACCAAAAACGGAGTTAATGTCATTTTATGTTTGGCTCCAGGACCCTCAACTCTTCCAGATAAAATAACAATAATAATATATTTTATAGGCCCCGGTTGAAAACACCCACAAACACTTCGACATTTTTGTCCCCCAATTGTGATGGACCTGAACTCCAAAACTTACCTTTGGTGGCTTTTAGATTCTGATTGTTCATTGGAATTGAGCATCCTCTAAAACGTGCAAATTCAACAAAATACATTTAAAAAGAAATTGGGGCCTCGATAAAAAAATGGTTTATAATTGGTCTGCTTATGAGCCTATATAATATATCGTGCCAAAATGTATATTCGTACCCCATCTACAACATTAGAAAGTACAAGTCAATGAGCTGCTTTCGTTCATACGTGTTAGATAAGAACCTTGATAGATTAAAACTACTATTGAATGCAAATACGTGACATCGGTCTGTGCGTATTCGACATCACGGCGGTGGGAACTCTGTGTTAACGGACAGCATTGGAATCTTTATTTATACTTGAGGAATCCGATGAGTTACAAAGCTCTTTTTCACAGATAATAATAATAATAATTCAAATTTGTAATGCGCATCCTATCCTAGGATCCCATCGCGCAATGCATGGGAAGCAGGAAACAAAAACAGAACCAGGGGGAAGGCGACCAAGCTAAAGAGGGAAGGCCGCTTGAAATAAATTGATTTTCAAAGCAGACTTACGTATGCTTGATTTCCAGTATGCGCACAGGGTCACAACGTTACAACAACAAACAATACAACAACAATGCGATAGGAGTGCCGAGTGTCGGAAAGGTAAGAAACAAATATGCAAATACAACGATGTTTGTTTATTTTACCAGGTAAAGCCCACTGAGCGATTAGCTTATTGTTTTTTTTTTCAGAAGCGACCTGGCCACAAATGATGGCTCAATCGATCAACAAGAATCCAATATCTTCATACAGTAGCATTCGATACGACGACAGCGAACACGCTACACCGATCGGTACTCGGAGGCCGCGGACCGGGACAGCGGCTGCGTTTGACACGAGCGGCACATCGCGATAGCCGGCAAGTCCCAGGGATTCAAATCTGCAAAGCTGCGCCAAACGTTTCGGGCGTGGGCGGCGGTGGCGGCGGGCGCGATAGATATCCCCAAAGGCCGGAGAAACCTTTAAAAGTGGCAGCGCAGACGCAGATAACGTGGGAGAGAGTCGAGATAGTCGTTCCGGCGAAAGGCCAAAAGCCGCACTTCATGCGAGGGCGCCGCACCGCAGGCATTGTGCACGCCGCGCTTGTCGCCTTCCACCTGATTTAACTTTTTTTTTGTTTTAATTTCGCCGAGAAAGTTTTAGGGAGCGATGATGATAAAAAAAAAATCCCTCGCACTGAAGTCATTGAGATATTTCATGACCTTTATAAGCCCTCGGCCGTAAAATTTTACACCGAAGGAACAGAGAGAGAGAGACGAAGGAACAGAGAGAGAGAGCGAAAAAGAAAGGTGTGGCTGAACGTGGCGTGGTATAAATTAAAAGAATCCCCCCTCCAGTAAAACACACATTCAAAACTCGCTCTGATTTCGGCGCAATTAAAGCGCATTTTCCGGCGAGATGAAGCTCTCTCATGAAGATTTATCGTCTCTATATTGTTGTAGTGTTTTCCGTGCACCTCTCAACCCCACGGGCCCCGTACGGGCAAGATTAATACCAGGGGACAATGAAATCGAGTTGCCTTGCCTTGTAACTTTATCGCTGAAAGTGCGTATTACCAGCGGTAACCTTTATTTACTTTCGTCAGGCTATTAAGCACGGGGGTCTAGTAATTACTCCCCAGCCCGCACACTTAAACCCTTTGTGGCAGAGACCACTGCCTAATTGAGTTCATTTTCATTTCCTCTCCGTCCCCTCGAATTAATCAAGTGATAAATCAGTGAAGAGGCGATCGTGGCGGCACTGGGCAGTGGGATTAGCTTAACTGGCGGTGCCGCTGGGCCCCCCTCTATCACCCCCCCCCCCCTCCCCCTACTCGCCCCCTCCACCCCACCCCACCTCTCCTCCTGCCACTTGGCCCCCTGACCCCTGGCTCCCCCATTTGTCAGCTGTTCCCCGCTACACGACGGCTGTGCGGCCGTGTGTCGGGGCACTGCACGCACGCACAGCGTTCACGCGCCGCACAGCGCGCGCGCCCGCGCGGAATGGCAAGTAGAAAGTAGCATGCGCGCCAGGACAGCATGCACACAATAGCAAACGGCAGACGCATTGCAGACAGCATAGCATAGAAATACACCCCGCATAGCGTAGACACCGCATAGGACACACACAGCATAGCATACACACGGCATGGCATACACACCGCACAGAGCATAACCACCGCATGGCATACACATCGCACACAGCATTGCATATGAACGCACAAATACAGCACAGATACTACACATGGGTCACAAACTTCACATGCCAAAAACACACAAACACACCACACGTACGTAGACATGACATGCACACACGCACCACACACATGCACGCAACATGCACACGCACACACCTACGCCACGCAAACAGCACACACAGAGTGCTTATCTATATTGCTGGTCCCAAGCTCGTGGTGGAAATTCCATATTCTTATGGTGGGGGCAAGCCCATCCCGATGTCGATATAAATCCCCACCAAACTGCACCATCCTCTGAGCGGTGCTTGAACTCGCGACCCTGACAGCCGTGCTCTCTCCGCTGCGCAGTGGCCCCGGGGGCACGTGCGAGCGCGAGGGGGCTCGGGGCCCGTGCGTCGAGGAAGAGCGACGCGCGGACGCACTTGCCTGCATGACACGGGGGGGGGGGGGTGGGGGGGGCGGGTGTCGGCAGCGTCGGTTGATGAGAAGATTTGCTCGGAAGCACCCCCTCCACCGTCCAAACGATGACAGCCCCTGGGCTCAGCGCTGATCTCCCGAGCGCAGGCGATTGGATCTCGGGGGCGAAAAAACAAGCGCGTGTCATCCTCGCCGCTCGACTCCCTCGGCCCCGGGCACGGCGTTTTTAGCGGGCGCGGGGCGCGCGGAGGGAGTGGGCGCGGCGGAGCGGTGGCATCGCGGTCGGGGCGCGGACCCTGGCCGGCCGGGTTCGATCCCACGACTTTGACTGCATCGGTGGCGAATGTCCGAACCAGTCCCGGACAACCTCCTCGATCGGCTTTAGCCTTAAACGAGTGCCCGGCGCGGTGGGCAAAAGCACCGGGGATACAGAGGGGTGGAGTTGGGCGCTTTGCTGGCCGCATCACCCCCCTTGAGCGCCGTGGCCGACCTTAATAGGTGCTCGCCGACCAGTTTATTAGGCGCCACGGAGACTGTTTGTCGTTTTTACGAGTGCTCGTGTGTGTGTGGCGGGTTTAACGACGCATTTATATTTACGTGTGCGTGCGTGCGTGCGTGCGCGCGCATCCAGCCCGATGCTCTTAGGCTGCCACATAAATGCGTGACGGGCGGATGTGGTAGCGCGGAATGCGTGCACCTGTACGCTGGGCCGCTCCCCTCCCCGGGCGCGTAGTCTCTCGGCACGGTGCACCACTTTAACACGAAGTGGCCTTTCGCGACCACTGTCATCCAGAAAACAGGTTTTTGTTGTTGTTGTTGGGGTTAGATCGCGTAAATATAAATATGTCGTGAAACCCGCCACCACCCGACACGGCCAATTGACGAACTTTACTAGTTGGCTGTGTCGGGTGGTGGCCTGTTTAACGACACATTTATATGTTTACGCGATCTAACCCCAACAAAACAACAACCCGTATTACAGTCTGCCACCTGAACACCGAGTTGTTTGCGATTGTTAATCTGTACTCTCACGAATCCGGCGAGCAAAGAGTGAGCCCCCTGGATGGCGGTGGTCGTGCGATTCTGTCAGGGCTGCCCTTGAATGGTTGCTTGGATTTTGTCATGCAGTGAAGGCCTCTGGTCCAGGTTGTGGTGGTGATGAGACTCTTTAAAGAGAGATGTGGGTGTTGACTCTGCAACAGCTGTGGGTTTATAGCAGGCGGCATCAACGTCGTTGGTCAAGTTGACCTGTCGACGACCCACTGAGGTCACGCAAACTAGAACAACAAAGGCAAAATACCCCCGTTTAGCCTTTAACAGACCATAGGGGCAAGTGCTGTTGACGAGCACCTATGAAGGCCGCAAAAGTACACGAGGGGGTGGGTAGCCGGCACCACGCCCGACCACATTTGTCTCCCCAGTAGCGATGCTTACACACCGCACCAGGTACTCATTTTGGAGGCCGAGTCGACCGAGGGGAGGCCCAAGACCGCTTCAGATGATCGTCAATGGAGTTGGTGACCGTGAGCGGGAATCGAACTCGAGTCCGCTGGGTTCGTAGTGCAGCGCTAACCGCTGCCCCCGCCGCTCCTCACACTAGGACTCATCCGTGGCCCCAGACGTCGAGTCGGAGGTGGTGGTAGTTCACCCCCCCTCCCCCCCCGCGGGGGGGTTAAATTGCTGATTAAACAAAAACGGCGAGGAGCTGCTCACACAACTTGAGGCTGGGCGAGTGTGCACAGCCTTCACGCCGTAAACACGGCAATGGCACTCGGAGGTCGGCTGAAGGCGCCTGGAGAACCGGTGACCTCGCGGCTCGAGGCGGGCGGCTCCCGCCGCGGTGTTGGAGCGCCGAGCCAGCGGCAGCCTAGAGCCCAAGTTCAATTCCTCCACTGGCCGGTCTCTCTCCGGCCAGCGGTCCCCGGCTTGGGATCGTGGAATTTGCGGGCGCGTGAGAGCGGGCGAGACGCCGGCGGCGATCGCCTCTGCCGGCTCGTGCTGAACCGAAATGCCGATGCGTTTTGTCCACTCTGTATAAAATGTGAACCTGTGCCTTGCTAACCTTGATTCACGATTGTCCGTGTTTCGCCTGTGCGTGCGTGCGTTCGCCCCCAGGGAACCGAGTACCCTCCTCTATCGGCCCTGGGAGCCGGCATGGACGACGTGAAGTCTGGGATGGTGGGGCCGGGCACCCCGGAGATGACGGCGCAGTCGTACCCCCTCGTCACCGGTGAGTGCCGAGGGGCTCCCGCAGGTCGCGGTCGCTCGGTCTCGCGCTTCACGGCGACGGCGATGACGGCGATGACGGCGATGACGGCGATGCTGTTGAATCCCACGCCTGCAAGGCGTGGTTAAGTTGAATGCAGATTGAACGCCCGGTCGTTTATTCCAATTCATGGATGCAACCGTTGATGACGGCGATGGTGACGGTGATGATGACGGCCATGATGATGATGATCATGACGGGCTGACCGCGATGGAACCCACGACCGCCCGACCGTGAGACGTAAGCTGCGATACGAAGAGCAGCAGACGAAAACCCCCGGAGCTGCGCCCTTCGCTTTGCACTCTCGCTGTCTCTCCCTTTTTCTCAACTCTTCCCGCTCGCCTTGCCAACTCCTCCTCCTCCTGCTGCTGCTGCTGGCGGTGACCAATCCCGGGGCAACGCGAGCTCCATGCTGAGACTCAAATCGTCAAATCACACACCCTCCCGGCTCCTACACCTTGTCCACGTCCCATTGTCCGAGCAAACAGGTGCAAGGCTGCTGCTTATATGCGTCGCACAAAGGCCGTCTCTGTCCCCCGAGATGGTGATGCATTGTAACAAGTTCTCATTGTGGTCTGAGTCAGCCTAGAGGATGCCCAGGCCAGGTTTACATAGCAATTGAAACAATGATCCCCAGTGTCTACCTATCACCAATGCCAACGAATTGTAACCCACGATCGCTTTGCACCCAGGGGCGGCTCACGATAGCTGTTCCAGCACTTGTCGCTGTCGTTTTGCGTGCGTGCGTGTGTGCGTGCGTGTGTGCCACGCCACCCATTAATGGATGCTCGTGAACAAAACCTCCCCCAATTGACATGCCCGTAACAAACACAAAAGATCCCTCGAATAAAGTAGCCTACACCGACTGTCGGGAGTCGTGCTGTCAGCGCAGCGCACGGAGGGGTGACGCGGGCATCGCCGACCACTGCGCCGCCACTCCACGCATTCGCAAAACGCGCGCAGCGACACGCGCAGGTGTCCGAGCGCACTCACGTGCGGGGCGCTGCGTTGCGCTACGCAGGTGCGCGGCAGGTGCGAGCGATGGGCGAGGGCGACGCGGGTTGTCTCGCGCCGACGCGCAGAGACCGTCGCCCGCTCAGCGTTCGGGGCGGATGCAATCGCAGCCCCCACCCCCGCCCCTCCCCCGCCCCTCTCCCCCGCCCCTCCCCCCCCGTCGTTCGCCGGCGGGAACCGCTTCCGCCCACCTGTCGGAGATTTGGCGGCGGTGGCGTTGAAAGTTCGCGGGGCGATGGAACGTCACTCGTGTGGTCGAGGCGCGCTCACGTTGCCGTCGGAGACGCCTCTCCGGGCCCTCGTAGTTCGAGCGATTTCATTAAGGTGGTGGGGGGGGGGCGGAGGGGGGCGGCCCGTAACCAATCGGCGCGACGCGTGCGTGCGGTCGTGTCTGGGAATCGAACTCTCGGTCCTCGCGCAAACCGGCCCCCGGCGGGGCGGTGTGGGGGGTAAGCGCTGGGAAGCTCCACACGTGCCGCCCCGCGCGACGCAGACGCCTCGTCAGCTCGCGACGGCTCCACGCCCCGCGGCGACGCCGCGCAGGCTCAGCGCGCCTCGCCGGGGCCACGCGTCTCTGGACAAATCGTGATCCGTTTAGAGCGATCACATTTGTACAATTACCTTCGTGTGAGCTCAATTTACTGGCGATAGCAGGGTGGAGGGGAAAGGAAAACGCGAAATCCGACTCCACTCGGCGACGATAGCGTGACCCGGGATCGATACGCAGGAAAAACAATTCGCCGAGGAAAATATCGTGCCGTGCCGTTTTCATTCGACTCCGTCGGAGGGGGAGTGCTTTCTCGCCCGCGGCGTGGCGTCGTTTAGCTCCGCCTCGTCGAGGCCACCGGGATTCAGACGCCGAGGTCCGGAGGTGACAACAATGGGCCGCCCGCCTGCAAATCTGCGCGCCGTGGCGGTCCGCTTGCCAAGCGCGACCCCCGTTAAACAAGCGGACGGCGGCCCCCGCCGACAGAAAATCGCGAGGGGCGACACGAGAGGCACAACCCGCCCAACTCTGCTCTAGAATGCGAGCGGGAGGATCACGGTTTCCTTTGCGCAATGTCGCGCTTCCCGTCTTCGGCGGGGGACCCGAGGCGTCCCGGCTACTGGGCCCGTGTCACGCCTGCCCGTCTGCTTCTGTGTGTGTGTGTGGTGGGTTTGTCTGTCTGTGTGGACGGGCTCGTGTGTCCCGCGGTAACCTGGACGCCTCCCTCCATCTCTCCCAGTGCTGTCGTAGCGGAAATCGCGGTCGTTATCTCGCTCTGATAGAATCGAGCGCAATATTGTTCACCCGATTGTTGTACAACGGTTAACAATTCACGACAGCCGCTCCCCACCCCCTTCCCATTGACATGGCTCCTTCTTGTTTCTCTGTTACTGCTACTATGACGGTCGTTGGTACAGCCACACTCTCATCAATGAGCTGTCTCTTCCTCTTCTCTCAGCGAACACTACTGCCAGACGCTGCTCTCGGTGGGTGGGTGGGTGAGTGGTGGGTGGGTGAGTGGTGGGTGGGTGGCGAGTGGGTAGGTGAGTTTACGAACCAGGTAATATCCCAGCGAGGCTAAGGGAGCAGATTGCCATCTTGGCCCCATTAGTGTTTTGATGATGAGAAGGTCCTCATGTAAGACAACGATCGCGTCAATGACAAAATCCATGAACAAAGCAGATCGGTACCCCAAACCCCTGCAGCTATTATTTTTCCACAACAAGTAGGGAATCTCATAAAAGTAGCAAACCGAGAAAACAGACCAATATCAATGTCTTTGATCATTTCATCCGCACTGTTAACGATAACGAAAAAAAACCCTCGTGGCTTTTTTTTGTTGTTAAAAAAATTAAAATTTCATTTGCAGCCTTCCCAATATATGTGTTAATATTTTAACGCGTTTTTGTACCTGACTTACCGCACGTTATAATTGTTAATTAAATATTCATGGCCCTGTGAATCCGTGCTCATGAATTAAAAAAAAATGTTGCGATCGCGCTGAGTGATGCACGTCGGATAAAGTGAGCACAAACCCTAGCGAGTGTTCCAACGAGACTCACCTAGCGAGTGTTCCAACGAGACTCACCTAGCGAGTGTACCAACGAGACTCACCTAGCGAGTGTTGCAGCGAGACTCACCTAGCGAGTGTTGCAACGAGACTCACCTAGCGGGCATTGCAGCGAGACTCACCTAGCGAGTGTTTCAACGAGACTCGCCTAGCGAGTGTTGCAGCGAGACTCACCTAGCGAGTGTTGCAACGAGACTCGCCTAGCGAGTGTTGCAGCGAGACTCACCTAGCGAGTGTTGCAACGAGACTCACCTAGCGAGTGTTCCAACGAGACTCACCTAGCGAGTGTTCCAACGAGACTCACCTAGCGAGTGTTGCAACGAGACTCGCCTAGCGAGTGTTTCAACGAGACTCGCCTAGGGGGTGTTGCAACGAGACTCACCTAGCGAGTGTTCCAACGAGACTCACCTAGCGAGTGTTGCAACGAGACTCACCTAGCGAGTGTTCCAACGAGACTCACCTAGCGAGTGTTTCAACGAGACTCACCTAGCGAGTGTTGCAGCGAGACTCACCTAGCGAGTGTTGCAGCGAGACTCACCTAGCGAGTGTTGCAGCGAGACTCACCTAGCGAGTGTTGCAACGAGACTCACCTAGCGAGTGTTGCAACGAGACCCACCTAGCGGGCATTGCAGCGAGACTCACCTAGCGAGTGTTCCAATGAAACTCACCTAGCGAGTGTTTCAACGAGACTCACCTAGCGAGTGTTGCAGCGAGACTCACCTAGCGAGTGTTGCAGCGAGACTCACCTAGCGAGTGTTGCAAGGAGACTCACCTAGCAAGTGTTGCAACGAGACTCACCTAGCGAGTGTTGCAACGAGACTCACCTAGCGAGTGTTGCAACGAGACTCACCTAGCGAGTGTTGCAACGAGACTCACCTAGCGAGTGTTGCAACGAGACTCACCTAGCGAGTGTTGCAACGAGACTCACCTAGCGAGTGTTGCAACGAGACTCACCTAGCGAGTGTTGCAACGAGACTCACCTCGCGAGTGTTGCAATGAGACTCACCTAGCGAGTGTTGCAACGAGACTCACCTAGCGAGTGTTGCAACGAGACTCACCTAGCGAGTGTTGCAACGAGACTCACCTCGCGAGTGTTGCAACGAGACTCACTTAGCGAGTGTTGCAACGAGACTCGCTTTGCGAGCGTAGCAGCCAAACTCGTCCTGTTGCATGGATACCCACATTCGAGATGAGATCTCGGTATCGGTGTTAATGTTTAGAAGCAGTAGTTGAACAAAATAAAATCGTTCAAATAGGCTTCAACAGTGAATAATTTCAGTCGACAAATATTAAATGACATTTATGTCTTGAATAATCTAGGTCGGTGCCGTTGTAGTTAGAGTACTCGACTCACAAAAATGTAGTCAGGGGTCAATGTACCCCATCATCATACCTTTGGGGTCAACGAAATACATGCCAATTTGTACCAACTCAACAGTTGTTGTTCCCATGGAGATGCTGGCCCAAAGACAGTAATGTGGAGTTTCCACCACTGGCTCAAACATGCCAATGGACGTGAGGACTGCCCAACAATGACGTGAGCAGGTGGACTGTTTGACCTTTGAATTTGGTTGAATTATTTTTGTAAATCAATCGCTGCTCAAGCACAGCATGGGATGGGACCATCTCCATTGGCAGCTCTCAGCCAGCTGCGGAAATTTCACTTTTCCATGTGACAACTGCCATGGACTTCCAACAACGTGGTGCTCGTTGTATCGATCCAGGAGAAATGATGGGCTGAGCTGGCACCTGGCCAGAAACTTTACCGATAACAAAATCCGTACTTGGAATTACACTTCAAGATATGTTTTGTTTTAATAAGAGCAATGTGTTAATTTATACGGTCAAAGTAAAGTCAACGCATCGTCCTTCTCAAGAAATCGTTGGCTCAGT